TTTTTTTTTTTTTTTTTTTTTTTTTTTTTTTTTTTTTTTTTTTTTTTTTTTTTTTTTTTTTTTTTTTTTTTTTTTTTTTTTTTTTTTTTTTTTTTTTTTTTTTTTTTTTTTTTTTTTTTTTTTTTTTTTTTTTTTTTTTTTTTTTTTCTATTTCTCTAATATTTTCAAAATCTTCCATTCTTACGTTCAACAGACTCAGTTTTTTAAGGCATAATGAATGTATCGTCTATATCAAGATTTATTTCTACTTAAAAAAAACCCAAACGCCTCCATATTCTATGTTAGTTTTTTCATTACACCTAAAAAAGGTTGAATTTACAACTAGGTCTAGGCAGAATATTTCAGATCTTGAAAACAACGCTGATGCTGAATCATCCATTGTATTCCAAAAATCCTCTGGAATTACATTTTAAAGTAAAATAACTATTGGAAATATCCTTATTTTTAACTAATTTTATACAATCGAATGTTAAAAGAAAAGCAGATAAAATTTGCAACGATGTTATTTCAATGCAATTGTCACCCACGATCAACATAAAGCCTCCACATTTCGCTTCACACTATTAACCATTAACTCATATTGTATCTTGTCTCCAATACAATAACAAGAAAAAGTAGACATTTTCATAGATGAAAGATGTAAACTTTGCAACGCTGTATTGCCCAAAATTATCGTATACTGATTAAATCTATGCTATACGTCTAAACTTTGCAACGCTGCATTGCCTAAAATTATCGTATACTGATAGAAATTTTACTATGAGTCTGTGAGTATCTTTAATTGTATATTTTATGTTTCAAATACTGCTACAATATACAAAACTATAAAAAATGGGTATTTTTAAAGGGCAAGAATGTAATTTTTGCAACGTTGTACTGCTATTAACGGCTCATCCACAATTTGAAACTTTTACTACGGATTTTCTTATAATGTTTCAGTTACGCGTCATGTTTACTTGAAACTTACATTACTTGTTACTTACATTACTTTGAAATTGGCTTTTGGAAGAAATTCTTCAAAAATATGAAGATTTTTAAGACTCAAACATGCAAACTTTGCAACGCTGTAGCTCCAAAACCAATGGCGTGGCGTGAATTGCGATTTATCGATTGTCATGCCATTTAAACCTATGAAAAAGGATCGATAGACAGGGTGTTCGCGGCGAACACCTTAATAATCGATTCTTTACCATAGCTTTAAATGGCATGAGAATCGATACATCGCAATTCACGCCACGCCACTGTCCAACACCAAACGTATCCTCAAGCTAAAATTTTTACCGGAGGCTTGTCTCATCATAAGGTTTCATTTCGGTCACGTACGAATGAAATCCCCGGGTTTCAAAAAAGGTCGCTCCTCTGACATAAGGACGTATCTCACTTTCCACACCAACCGCAGAAAGCATGGATTTGAATGTGACCCAGGGCTCACGAGGAGATTGAGATTCGCCCTTTCGTCAGAGGAGCGACGAAACGGGGCCACTCATTGGAAGGCTTTTTAATCTATTTTCCTCCCTCAATTGGACTGCATTTTGCAATTTGGAACTATAGATTCTGGCCCGGTTTAAAAAAAAACGCATGTGCCATTAGTATCCCTATGCACATAAGTGTTTTTTTCAGATGAGCCAGAATTCATAGTTCCAAATTGCAAAATGCAGTCCAATTCGTCGTTACCTCCCACGAAAGAACATAACTGCATTTGGATTACATTTTGCAATAAGGAACCACTATTTCTGACTCTTACATAAAACCACCGTTCTGCACAGGAAAACCAATGGCATACACGTTGTTTCTAAAATGAGCCAGAAATAGTGGTTCCTTTTTGCAAAATGTGGTCCATTTCATTGTTGCCAGATTTCGCCTCGTAAATTTGAATTTGTAAAGGAAAATGTTAGGTATTAATTGTACATTTCACTGATTTTTCCGCTGATCTCATGAAAAACGAAAATAAATTTTGGATAAAGATTTCGCTTTCTCGTGTTTGTGAAAAATTGAATTCTTTGAATCAATTTGACAACCTTGGAATGGAGTTGCGTTTCTTCGTCCGAGAAATGACAAAAAATGAAGCTGAATCCTGTCGTAGCCAATTCAGTGAATAGTTAATTCTGCAGAATCTCGGCAAAATAAGACAGTTTCAAGGCATTATGTTCCGTAGTTCTGCAGTATTACAGAAACAGATCAGGAAAAACTAAGCACCCTCAAATCGTCGCTCCTCTGACGTAAGGGCGTATCTAGATTTTTGCATGAGCCTTAGAAAGCATAGAGTTATACGGAGCACAGGGGTCACATAGAAATCAAGTTACGCCTTTACGTCAGAGGAGCGACGAAATGTAGTTAAGTATGATTCTACCTAAAATCGCCCGAATGATGACAGCGGCGATGATCAGCGTCGAGGAAGAATGAGGGGCTTTTAGGACAAAGCGCGTAAGTGCAGTTTTTGCTACCTCGAGAAATATGTGTTTGAAGTTTTGAAATTACATGGATCCGTATGGCGGAAAGAAAGTTAAAACTGACTTTTTGAAGCTTAAAAATTGAAATTTGAGAGGGAATTTTTCACAAAATATGCACAAAGACTAGTTTTACTTGAAATCATTAAAATCTGAACTTTTTCCGAAACTGCACTTATGCGCCTTGTCCTCCAAGCCCCTCAAATTTTTTAGCAGCCCATTTCAAAAATTGAAATTATCGGAAGTAACCGATACATTAGAAGTTGAGGCGATTCAATGATCGCCATATTTTGTGCCAGAACGACTTGCGAAATATCGCGTCGATTGGTTTCATTTTTTCAGCTACTCGTCATTTTTCTCGAATTTTGAGATCGCAATTCTGTTGTCAGGAGACTAAAGAATTCACCTACCAAATTTTGACAAACCAATTCATCGTAATGAAGTCGTGGGTTTTTTTTATGAGACAAAATATCCCATTCGAATGCAGCATTTTTCCTCTATTTTCCTCACGCCTTTAATACTTTGAATTTGTTCATCAAAATTGGTAAGTGAATTATTTAGTCTTCTGACAACAGAATTGCGATCTCAAAATTCGAGAAAAATGACGAGTCGCCGTAAAAATGGAACTAATCGATGCTATATATCGCATGCCGTTCTGTCACAAAATATGGCGTTCATCGAATCACCTTAATTTTCGAAATAGGAGGAAGCTTGAGAGATCTTACCGTGAAGAAGCGATGATCTGCAAGGTCAGGAACAGCTCTGATGCGGAGGGTGAAGATTTCCATCCTCGTTCATCCCCTTCTCGAATGTTGCCTGCAAAGAAAGAAATTAAACCCTTTTAGAGATAAATTCAACATAACGCATTGTTGCACATTGTCTAGTATATGGAACAGCTTAACAAATAAATTGAAATAATGTTGAAAAATAATGGAATAACACTGCTTTTTTTACCACAAAATTATAATATTCTCACATAATGTATTCAATAATAATAATCAATTTTCAACGATTAAACATTTTCATATCGACGACTTAAGGAGATTTGATGGACGCCATATTTAGTGTCAGAAAGGCATGCGATATATCGAATCCATTGGCTCCATTTTTTCAGCTACTCGTCATTTCTCTCCAATTTTGAGATCGCAATTCTGTTGTCAGGAGACTATAGCACTCACTTATCAATTTTAACAAAGAAATTCAACGTAATAAAGTTGTGGTTTTTTCAGAGAAAACATCGCATTCGATACTGATATCGAAACTGCCCTCGAATGTGATATTTTCTCTTTAAAAAAACCACGCCTTTATTGCGTTGAATTTCTTTGTTAAAATTGGGAAGTGAGTGATTTAGTCTCCTGACAACAGAATTGCGATCTCAAAATTGGAGAAAAATGACGAGTAGCTGAAAAAATGGAACCAATTGGTGCGATATATCGCATGTCGTTCTGACACAAAATATGGCGTCCATCGAATCACCTTAAGTGTAGAACCACGCGTTTCCGTCTGCTATTCAACAGATCTTCTGTCATACTTCATTTTTTCTCGGGGAAACTGGTCAACCTAAATTCTTTAAAACTTCCGTGATCTTTCTTCTCTGTTTGCAGAATACTTTGTATTAATTTCAAGCCATGAAGTTTGCTTGTTTCTCCTGAAAAAATTAAACAAAGGTGGAAATTTTATGACACCACAATAGAAATGTATGGTTTTCCATTTTGGCCATCGATTCATGAAGAAGTTAGGTAATTCGCAACTGCAAAAAATTGCAACACATTTCAATACCCAGATTAACCTCGATAACTCGACTGATTGTGAAAAAAATCTCGAGAAAATCAAAAGATTATCGCCCACAGGGATTCTCAAATTAAATATAGTTGGCCGAAGTGCGAAACCACCTATCTCCGTCTGCGACGTCCCGGACCTCCTGTTACACTTTATTTTTTCTTGGTAAAACTAGTCAACTTATTCCTTGAAAACTACCTCGATTTTTCCTCTCTATTAGCAAAATATTCACTGGAAAGAAAACACATTGGATCTAGAGCCGAGACTTAAAAACATCGACAAGAAAAAGTACTCTTGATTCAATCAAACTAGCTTAGATCAAGAACCAAGCCTCTTAATTTCAGCGGATTTTGTTTTGATTCAAGCAAAAATCCGATTGAATCAAGAGTATTTTTTCTTGTCAATGTTTTCAAGAGTCTGGACTCTAAATGCAATGTGGTTTGTTTCCAGTGTTTTGTAAAGATATCAAGCCCAACAGTCGACTTGATTTTCCTCGGAAATAAAATGGTAGCATAAATTTTACTGGAAATACGTGGTTTCACACTTAAGTCATCGATATTAAATGTACCACACTTCTCTCGTAAAAAAAGAAAAATGAAAAAAAAAACATTTTGTTGATGACATCAAGCGACTTACCGAATCAATGCTGAGGAATATACGTGAGCAAAATGACTTCCGAAACTATATTCTCAAATCAAATTTCACAGAAATATCGATGAAAAGACACTACCGAAAATGCGCACGATAACAACCGACACGAGTGACAAATACTACTTCCTCTTATTGTAAAACACGGCAAACTATTACACTAGACAGAAAAAGTAGAGGCTCGCTGACGAAAACTTTCGGCGGATAGAAAACTTTCGGAAAGTAAGGCTGCTCAACTATTCACTGCACCTTCTATATTCACGGAATAATTCACTGAGAAAAATTTTAATAATAAAGTACCGAACACGAAAATAAAGTACCGAACACGAAACTAAAGTACCGAACACGAAACTAAAGTACCGAATACGAAACTACACTGATGGTAATACACTTGAAGCACACGACTATCACACGCGGTCCCGAGATGAATATATTTCCGATAAAATATACTTCCGATTTGATTATCCTCCTAGGGGTTGAGCTCAAGCTCAACCCCTACGGCTGCGCGACTTCGACTGACCAAAAGTACCGAAAGTCCCGAGCCTTCGAGGTCTCAAACTTTTTCCTCGTTCTTCTCGAAAACAAAAGAGTGGCTTCGATTTCCAAAATATCCCTACCTTTTTGGGTTTCCCAGGTGAAAGCGGCTCAAGCTCACAAAAGAAAATATCTTCATTGAACTTTGAACATTGACCTTCTGATTTCCCGGATTAATTGGACGTATTTCTATCAAACGGAACTATGTGCATTAAGACATGAGTCCTGAGACCCATAAGCGTATGCGCATTACAGGGCTCACGTCATAATGCACATAGTTCCGTTTGATAGAAATACGTCCAATTCATCTCCTTCTTTTCACAACTTTTCTTTTTTTCGCTGAAAAGTAGTGAGGGTTCGTCCATGNCCCCCCCCCGAAAAATTTGTCATTTCAAGCGTGCCTCCCTTTTTTGTGTAGGTGTGGGTCGTCGCAAACCCCTGCCACCGGCGTATCACATACGAATTCAAGTGTTTAAATCACTCAAAAATAACATAAATCACATAGGAAAAATCTAGAATCCACTCCTCCTTCAAGGCATTTCTTGATTGTAATCGGCTCGGCTTGAATTCTGCCGTGCTAAGGAAGAACGCCGAATGAACATTCGAGAATTGCCGAATTTTCCTTGATAAAGCATGTATTTTTTACGACATTTATGCATAATTTTCCTTTAAAATTTCAGATATATACATTAAATTGCGTGCAAAATCGCCTGAAAATTTTGGGGGAAAAAATTCACAATTTTCCCAGTAAGTGGGCCAGTTGCGCTGGTCACAGAATCGTGTTTTGATGCTTGATTCTTGTGGAATAGCTAAGAATAATAGGATCTGCCCCAACATGAACTTTCTACGCTCAATATTAACCGAAATATCGCCATTTGAAAAGTCAGGTTTTTTTTGTCATCCATCCCGGTGGTGACACCCTCAGTGCATCACTGACTGATGAAAGCAAGGTGGAAGAAACCAAGGGTGTCACTATACCGCGGTGGATGACGTTAAAAACCCGCGGATTTTCAAAATACTAATATTGAACTTAGAAAATTCCTGTTTGGACGGATCTTATAATTTTTAGCTACTCATCAAGAATCGAGCATTAAAACATGATTCTGTGACCATCGCAACTGACCCATTCGGTTTTTGTCAAAGGAAGCTTGGCAACGTCTGAAGGCCCATACGGCGTTCTTCCGTAGCTCGACTCATAAGGCGTTCTTCCGTAGCACGACAGAATTAGACACTAGGACTTGGATTTAATGTGCTATTGTCATGTTGCCTGGATTGAGCTTTGTGAAATCCTCTCGGACCCGAGCATCCGATGCGTCTTAATCAAGATGATCAGGATGCATTTCCCCGAAAGGGCAATCGCGCCGACACGAATGCTCAAATGCACGATGCGATAACCGCCTCGATGAAGAGATGCTTTCACCTATAGCCATTCATCTCATCCTCATCGCGTACGCAGCATCCTGGGCTCCCGCCTTGCCAGATCGTCATAGACGTCGACCGTCTTTTCGTCGCTTCTCTGACGTATGGGCGTATAACAATTTCCGCATGAGTCTTGGAAGCATGGATTTGTATGGAAAATAAAGCTCACGTGGAAATTGAGATGTGTCTTTTCGTCGGAGGAGCGACGATTTGATGCGTGATAATGTCTTGATTTGTCGATCCTTTGATGGAGGGACGTAAGCTCGTTTCAAGGTTGGAAAATTGATCAAGGAATTCGATTTTTTATAGAAATATGACCGGCAATGGCCTGATCATTGCAATTGATCGACAAAGTTAAAGATAAAGAAGACAAAGAAAAATATAGCGATCCTATTGATTGAAACGGCCGATTATTGAAGACAGCGGTCTGCTGTCTGAGACAGGGAAAAAGTAGGATTCGCCAGGGAATGACAAAATGAACGTATTTCTACCAAACGGAACTATGTGCATTAAGACATGAGTTCTGAGACCCGTAAGTGTATGCACATTACAGGGCTCACGGCATAAATTAGTTACGGAAGCTGTTACGGCTTACTCGGGGTTGGTAACGCGTGCTTGGGGAACTCATGCCGACCTGACGGGAAGAGGGACATAGCGTCGCTTCTCTGGCGTAAGGGCGTACCTCAATTTTGACGTAAGTCCTGTTTTACCTTTAATTCCATGTTTTCTGGGGCCCATGCGGAAATTGAGGTTAGCTCTCACGTCAGAGGAGCGACGATTAGTGAGCGGAGTTTTCTAGAGCGGAATTTTCGGAAAGTCCGTAAATAGTACTGATTTTTTATAGACGGTCCGGAAGTACTGAGAAAGTGCGGAAATTCCGCATGAAGGTCCGGATTTTTTCCCTTCATACCACTCGTGCTTTTTTGATGAAGCCTGGAATGTATGAAATCCCCTGCATGGTGATTCTTAGAACAGTATTTGCCTGCAAGATCGCGATTGTGCTGTCAGGTAATCTTTAAGCCACTAATGACATTTTGTGTCTACATAATTTTTGTCGCAATTCGAGCGAGAATTTCAAATTTTCGAAATGTGTCGTATTTTGTCAAATATAGGTACTGATAAAGAACTGAATTTTTTGTCGAGGAGGTACTGAACTTCCGAAGAATGTGCTTAAAAAGTACTGATTTTTGGCTAGCCTGTTTGGTTAAGTTGACACCCTGCTTACGGTGACTGTCGAGTTTCGAGTGACACTTCACCGCCCTTATCGGATTTAAAATATTCGTATCAAAAATCTTTGCTTTTCTCGAAACAAAGTCGTAGGATTTTCAAGATTCAATCGCTGATCGAAGATTCATGAAATGTTGTCTCGCATTTAGGTACCTAGTCGGGAAAAATCTGAATGGAAACTTAACGCAATTTGCAAATGTTTCGTATCCTGGTAGACCCTGACTTAAGTCCATAAAAAAGGGGAGATACGAGTTTTTTTTTTTTTTTTATCTGTTCACGCAAAATGTGGAAAGTGCAACAGTTGTCACCAGTCAAAAACGCCTTCAGTACCACGTAATACTTCACCGCCCGCACCGGAGTCTATATATTTGTATCAATCACTTATCGAATGACCTGAAACATGATGAACATCATGAAATGTTGTCCCGCAGTTGGTAATTATCATTTTCACCTGTCATCTTTGCTCATCAAGGCGTTCATTGATATGTATGTATCTTATTGGCGAAAAAAATACGTCGATCCCTGAACTGACGTTGATCCTACTCGTTTACACTTTTTTGATAGCTTTTGAAGGGTCTCCAAAATATTTTGTTGTTTGCGGTAAAGAAGTTTTTCCGATCGAAATTCTCTCATGTCTCAAGTCTCTTATGACAGTTTTTAAAACATTTTTTTATTTTATTAGTTTCATTTTTTCTGTAAATTACCCAATCGTGCAGTCTTCAAAATGAAAGTGGAGGATGACCGCTAAAATTTAGGCTCCCTATCCGAAGTATTAGATTTCAAAACTAAACGCCGTCAAAGGAAGCTATTTCAGTTAGCACAAGTGCGTAGTTTCTTTATCTCTTCCTGTCAAAGTGTCACTCTTTCTCTGAAGCTCAAGTGTATATTATTTACCATCTGTCAGCCAGCTTGTCTTCATTGGTGTGAATTTATATAAGCTCTCTTTCGTAATTTAGACATACTTTTAAATAACACCTATACTGGTATTATTTTTTTTTCTTTTCCATCACCTCTAAGTCCGTTTTGAAGTAGCATCGTTTTCTTCGCCTTATTCCTCACGATTGTGACCCAAAAAGCCGATAAAAAGAATGTAGAATAATCATGTATTTCCCGTTTTCTTTTTTTGGGTCTCATCAAGTAATGTTCTAAAACCCACCGTAGAGAACCTTACATTGTCTTCAAGAATTTTACCCAAGTCGTTTGAACATTCGATTTCACATATAATAAGAAAATCTCTTTCCGAATCCATGAAGACAGACTATGAATGACTCTCCTACTGACATTTCCTTTGGAAAAAATTCAATTTTGACATACGATAGCCAGAATTTCTGCCCATCCTGAAATTTTAGAATGACCATTCTCAGAGGAATCCCAGCTCTGTACGAAACGTTACGTGGAGCCTTGCTGCCTGTGTAGTTCCGTTCAGTGGCAATTCTTAAAAGTTGCTTTTCCTCCATTTAAATTCATTGCAAGTGTCGATTTGAAGAGTCGATTGTTTTACATCCGTGTAATTGGAGGAAAAACATTGTTGTGAACTTTCAAGCAACGCACTGGTTCCATTTTCAAGGACCCCTTGAAAATTAAATCTCGTCCTTCCGTCAGCCAAGCGAAGATTTGCCGTCCGAAGATACTAATTCGAAATGAAACGGTGACCAGTAGCGTGGCGTGAATTGCAATATATCGATTGTTATGCCATCTAAACCTATGAAAAAAGATCGATTATCAGGGCGTTCGCAGCGAACACCTTAGTAATCGATTCTTTACCATAGTTTCAAATGGTGAGATATCGATAATCGATCATTCACGCCACGCCACTGACGGTGACGTTTATACTCGCCTCAGAGTACGGCTGTGCCAAGTAAAAACGCCGTACGAGCCTTCAGGAATTGCCAAATTTCCCCTAATAAAACAGTAATTTTGGAGGAAAGTTACGTGTATTTTTCCTTCAAATCTTCACATACTTTATACTAAAATGCGGATAAAATTTTCTGAAAAATTGGAAGAAAAAAATCCAAGAGTTGCTTTGAAAATTCGTATTTAATGGGAGGAAATTCGGCAACACCCGAGAGCCCACAAGACGTTTTTCCTTAGCACGGCAGAGTAGGTAATAGGAAGCTTCCTCATTTAACGTCACAGTCAACTTGACGTCATAGTTCGACGTGGAATGACTGACCTGTCCCGCTTATTACAGCTGAGCATGAGATGAGCCCCTTTTGCAGTCACGTGTCGACAGCAAACGAGTGATACATCGCCAGCAAGGCACGTGGTGGCTGGTGCCGTGGACGTAGGAAAAAAAGGAAATAAATTTAAGGTTAGGAGCAACTCACGCCCACTTTAAGCACAGCGGTGTCTGTTCAATGTAACTTTGGATTGTGACAGAATTGAGTCTTGACGTCAGAAGACGGTGCCAAAAATGTCTGCGGAAATGCTTGGAATTTTGTCAGATTCGTGAAAATAGGACGTCTACGTTATACAGTGAAGTTTTACCGTTTTTTGAACCCTTTCTCGCCTAGT